GCACACAGAAGCTGCTCAGTGGTGCTCACAGGCGGCGTCCCGGGGCATGGTGGGCAAAAAGCTGGGCTGGGTCCCTGCAGGACAGGGGGTGATGAGTGACACCTACCTGTGTCAGGCGGGGGCCAGCAGGGGACACTGGCTGTCTGGAGTCACACACTCCCCTCCTGCCCTTGGTGACAAGAAATGCCACACTAGGCAGCAGCTGGTGTGGCATCGAGTGTGTCAGGGGACTCAGTGCCACAGGGTCCCCAGCTGTGACAAGGGGACAGGAAAGGAGAAAAGAAGGGCGGGTGCTCGAAGGGACCTCAGTGCCAGCTGGCGAGTCTTGGTGTGCTGGTGGGGCCTGGGCCCTGCTGGCCCCGTGTCCTGCGGGCCCAGCACTCAGCACACCTGCAGGGGTCCACTCGTCCCAGTAGGGACGTCCCTAGTCCCAAGCCCTGTGATCCGGGCTCCCCCTCTCCCGCTGGGTCAGGGCCCTGTTTTCAGTTCACCATGGGGCGTGGTCCCAGGGCTGCTGGTGGTGGCCTGGGTGGTGGCACAACCCCGCTGGAGGCCTGCTGAGGGACTGTGACCAGCCCGCACCGGGGAGCGGGTCTGTGTGCCAGCGCCTGGCTGTGTCCCACCTGGGGAGGGTCCGGGCATGGGTGCCCCATGTGAGTGCTGGCTTCCAGGTGGGCGTTGGGGCAGGGCCAGGCGGGGTGCCCATGTGCTGCGCAGGCCGGAGTGTGAGGCCGCGCGTCCTTGGGTGACAGCAGCCCTCCGAGCCTCTGCACGTTGGGGCTGGAAGAGTGACAGCAGCGGTGTTTGGGAGGGTCCCAGGGACGCATGGTGGCCGGGATTCTGCCTGCTTCCACCCTCTCTCTGGACCTGCTCCGGCTCCGCCCTGACCTGGCTCTGCGGCTTCCTGGCCCAGCTGGACCTGCGTTCTCCAGCCCCAGAACATTCCAGCCTCGCTCCTTCGGCAGACACCGGAGTGACTTCACTTTCCCGAGCACTGGATTCCCTGGCCCTTCACGTACAGGAGCTGGCTGCCCTGGGGGCTGGGGACGTGTCCTTGGAGAGCTGACCTGGCCAGTGCTTCTTACCCCAGGACTCGGCTGCCTTGACCACCACTTGGGTGAGCAGTCAGCCCCCCCCCCCCCCAGACAGGCCTTGCTGTGTGCTCCCTGGTACTTCGGAAACGCTGGCGTTGAAGTCTGCCCTGTGCCCCGGCGATTCCTGCCTGTGCCCCTGTGACATTCGATCCCCCTGAACAAGTGCTTCGGCTACGGTCTTTCTTGGTTTGATTCCAGCACGTGGAGCTTTTAACCATCTTCCCACATGAACAGCCACCCACAGCTCCCAGAGTGGCTGGTCCTTCCCTGCGGGAAGCCAGAGCACCTCCCTGTGCACAGAGGACCTCCCTGTGCCCCTGCCTTCAGGACCACAACGCTGCCTCCTGTCAAGGAAGGAGTCCCTCTCCCTCGAGCCGGGCTTGACTGTGGTCAGCCTGACTCTGACGGTTCGGCTGGCCTGAGGCTCCACGGTGTGGGGCAGGGCACAGGAATGAGGGCGGGTCGGGCGCCAGCTCCGCTGCACACTTGGACCTCTCACTAGTGCCACTGGTTTGCTGAAGCCGATTCACTTCTACACAGAGTGGGACAGGTGCACTGAGCTCCCTTGACCTGCTCCAAGCATGGAGAAAGCTCTGGACCTCACAGTGGTCATGCAGGGGACACTGGACACTTGGGGTCCCCAAAGTGAGGCAGGAGCAGCAGCTTCCTGGGCTGTTGCAACAAGCACCCCAAACTGGGGCTCCAAACAGTGGCGAATCCTGCTCACAGGGGCAGGGGGTGCGGGCAGGGCCGGAGCCTGTCCCTTGTCCGTCTCTTCCTTCTGGTGGCTGCTGACCGGCCTTGCCATCCCGTATGCATCACTGTGACCCCTGCCCACTCTCACGTGCTTCTCCCTGTGTCTGTGTCCTGCCTTCCCTCATCCTGGGACACCAGCGGCTGGACACTGGCCGCAAGGCTGCCTGCAGGACCTCCTCCTAGCCTGACCACAGCCACAGAGGCCTGTTTCCAACAAGCTCACTCTCAAGGGGCTGGGTCAGGGCTTCAGTGCACCTTCTAGGGAGACATGATTCAACCAAAACAGAGGGTACACGGAGGCCTGGCGCTGACTGTGGCCGTCACTACGGCTCTGCTCAGAGGCACGTCTTGGAAGTCCCACGGGAGCACATGCAGGGCTGGTTTGAGCATTGGGTGTCACCATCCTGGGACAACCCGTGCTGGACTGCTCCTCCTGGGGACGTGGGAGCCCTCCCTGCAGATATCAGGCCAGGGCCAGCTGGAGGCTGCCCCTCTAGGGACAGTGTCCTTGGGCCACTGCAGGGACGTCCCTCTGTCACGCTCTCGGTGACCTCTTCTTGGCCATGTTGCTCCTGGGCCTTGGCTGCTTGTACCTCCTGGATCCCTCCCCAGAGCCCACCACCCCTGGGTCCCCTTCCCACATTCTGCTCTTGGCCTTCCAGTGTCCTATGACAGGGACGTCCCTGTAATTGTTACCACAGTGGCACTTATTCGGGTTCCTAAGGCGGGTTCCCCCCATCCCCACACTCATTTTGAATGTCTAATGCTCTTTTATTGCAAGCAGCAGACACACCTTCCCTGTGCCCTGGGGCTCCCAGCTCCCTGGTCAGTCCAGGCTGTGGAGTCCACCCTTCAACTCTGGCCTCTTTTTCTTGTGCTGCTGGGGACCAGGGCTGGGAGCGGCGAGCTACGCCCCAGTCGCAGGGTGAAATCCGCACGTCCAGGCCGTTCTCAGGTCAGCCGGTCTCCGTGTTGTGCTTCGTGCTCTTTAGGTTTTTAAGTCCTGGAAACGTCTCTGGTGACCCAGGCTCCTGCCAGAGGAGACGCAGACCTGCCGGTGTCTGCTTCCAGCGGGCTTCTCCTCGTGGCCTGCTCTGGGCCTCGCTGCTCTGCTCCTGAGCATGTGGCTTTGACCCTTGATGGCATCTCTCCCACTTGTCTCCGGGCCAGAAACACTTTGCTCTAATATCTGCAAAAAGCAGCTGCGGGAGGACCCTGCTGGGAGCAGTGGGGACGTGCTCCCTGCCCAGCAGAGCCACGGCCCTCTCCTGGGGCGGATGTGGGGACCGTGTCTTCTCTCCCACTGTTTATGCATCTGTGGGTTTTCCAAGGTCAAATGCAGTTTAACTCCTGTGTGTGCGGGAGAGATTGATGGGCGCTGGGCTCCGACCTGCAGCGACTGGCCTCCCGACAGGTTTGACATCCACCATTTGGTGTGCTTTTCAAAGGCTCCCACTTTTAACCGTAGAGCACTGACAGGAGTTTTGGGGGCTTCCTTCTGTTGGGAAATGTTCATCCTTGGAAGCAGTGGTGGGGCCTCCCACACGCTGTCAGCGTGAGGAGTGGGGGGCCTGGCTGGTTGCGTGGCTGATTCGGGGAACAGGGGTTTCCTCCCGCGTCCTGGGAGCCAGCCAGCCGGGTCCAGCATGCCAGCCCGCGGGAGGGAGGCCGTGGAGGGCGGCCAGCAGGAACCAGCTCCCGGGTGAGTCCAGCTCTGCTCGGCCCAGGCCCAGCTGGCTTCTCTAAGGCCTCGCCTCCGACTTCCTTCAGGAAGAAGGATCTGCCTCCTCTTGGACTCACATGCTCACACGGCAACAGGACCAGCCACCTGCGTGGGGAGACGTGGTCCCCGCCCCCCCCCCCCCCCCCGTCCCTCTTTCCACTCTCCATCCCCCTCCTGCTGTGGCGAGGACAGGCTGGGCCCCTCATGGCCAGGGTCAGGGAGGGGTCAGATATAATCCACCTCAGGGAGCTCTGGACGGGTCAGAGGAGGGAAGACGTCCAAGGTCAGCTTGAACGAGCAGCAGTTCACAGGGGACAGGGCACCACTCATCTCTTGACGTAGGAACTTCCGGCCCAGGGAATGGCTCAAGCTGCCGGCTCAGGGCAGGAAGTGCAGGCTGGCTCCATGTTCAAGGACAGCTTCGCCAAGAGCCCAAAGCTGGCCTGAGACATCCTACGTGCCTGGCCCTGATTCCTTGAGATGGCGTGTGGGGACGGGGTGCAGAGCTGGGTGGACTGGGTGCCTTTGGATTGGATGGCCACAGAACATCTGACTCTAAGTGAAGCCCAAGCCTGAGCCTGGCCGATGGGCAGCCGTGGGGAGAACACTGTGGTCCTCAGAGATGGCTCGGGCTGGAGAGGATCTCCAGGGCACCCTGAGCTCTGAAGCACCGTGATTCTACTTCCAGTGCAAGAGCGGGCCCTCTTACAGCCAGCCAGAGGGGCCTGGAAATCTGACGTTCCACAGAACTAGCCCGAAGGAAGAAGCAAAACAGAGCACCCTCAGCTACTCCCTGTTGGGTTCCGGACTCCACACAGGTGAACCAGCAGCTGGTGCCAGTGTTTGGAGGGAGGCTGGGTGGCAGAGAGGCAGGAAGGGGAGGCCCTGGCAGTGTCCTGAGCGGGAACCGGCAGGTCTGGCTTGGAGAGGTGGAGGCTCGGCCCTCAAGGGCCTGTGCACGGGCCTCCTGTGCTGGACGAGGCAGGCCCAGCTGACTTGCTGGTGTTGGCCTGAGGTTAATAGTCAAAGGGGACTGACCACCCAGTATCCACCAGGGAGAGCTGGGTGAGCAGTGAGTGTCACTTGGAAACAGAGAGGGGTGGTTTGCAGCTCGGGTGACTGGAAGGAGCCCCGCCCTTCTCTGGAGCTTGCCATTCCCAGGGGTCCTACAACCTTGGGGTGGAGAAACCCAGGCCAACGGAGCAGCGGTCACCCCGCTGGTGGGTAGAGAGGGAGAGAGACAGCAGGATGGCCAAGTCCATGTCTTGATGGGGGTTTGAGGCACACAGGCATATGCACTTGCCAAGACTCAGTGAATGTGTGAAATCTGTGCATTTCTTCACCAGTCAATTGTAATTTTTTAAAAATATTTTTTTTAGTTGCATATGGACACAATACCTCTATTTTATTTTTATGTGTTGCTGAGGATCAAACCCAGTGCCTCACATGTGCAAGGCAAGTGCTCTACCACTGAGCTACAACCGCAGCTCTGTCAATTTTATATTGGAAGGAAAAACCCTGTAAACAAACGTTGACCGCGAGCTAACACTAAGCATGGTAGGTGTCAGGAAGGGTACTGATGCCTGCAATTTGCTTTGTTCTGGGTTGAAATGTCAAGGTGGGTGGACGGGTGGAAGGATAGGAGACGACTGACTGACAGCTACCTGACCCAACAGGGGAGGAGGACAGGGGCAGAGACTCTGGGCAGTGGGTGGGACCCTCACCACAGACTCTCTAGGCTTTGCTGGAGTCTGCAATGTCCATGACAAGGTACTGGGGCAGCAGGCCTCTGGTCCCCTGCAGTAATGCCTGCTGTCTGTCTATTCCCACTTAGCGAGCTCCTCCTGCCCCACAGCCCCAGCCCTTGACCGCTGGCCTCCACTGGACTGGGCGTCGTGTGCCAGCTGGCACTCAATTAAACAAGGAGGAAGCTGGCTGACCTGGGCACCAGGCTCTGTGCAGAAGGGAAGCCGAGGTGAGTCAAGTGCCTCCTCGTGCCAGGAATGCCGTGTGTGTCCTCATCACCGCCTGCAGGGCCTTCCGTGAGGCCCCCTGCTCTGCCCCTTGCCCTCTGGCCTTTCTACTGGGTGCCACCTCTGCAGAAGATGAGGGCCACACCTGTCACCCCCTTTCTCCTCCTGTCCTCTGGGACTCCTCGGCCCCACAGTATGGGAGCATGTCTGCCAGGGCGGCTTATTGGAGAGCCCGCGTCAGGTGAAATACCCGGGAAAGGAGAGGAGCCATGGTTTTGGCTCACAGACCTCGAGAGGGTTCTGTGCGTGGTGGCCGGCCCCTCGCTTCAGGCCTGGGTGAGGCGCAGCGGCAGGTGGAAGCCGTGGAAGGGCGAGGCCGAGGGGGCTGTCAGCTCCGCAGCACCCCCAGGGCCTCCCCAGCTCTGTTTCTTTTTTAATCTGCTGGAGACAAGGCTGAGTTTCTATGATTTCAGCAGTTACCTCTGACCTCTTTTTTATTGTTATCTTTTATAGAAAAATTGCCCAAAATGAGTGTGTAGCTGATGCACCCTGGGGAAGCCCCCCGGAGGAGGAGGGAGGGACGGCGTGCTGGGCACCTTGCGCTCCCCGCCTGGAGAACCCTGGACCCCACCTTCCTGGTCATTCCGTCCTCATTTGCCTTCTCTTTGTGGTTCCTTAATGTTGCCATTTAGTAACAATTTGTTTCCAGATCCACAGCAGGGGAACCCTATGATAAGCATTTTTAATTCTGAGGGTGGAACTGGCTTCTCTTACCCCAATTTTCTTTTAAAGATTCACTCCCCTTATGTGTCTGGGCCATCCATCTTCATTGCTATGTATTATTTTTTTGCAGAAATAGACAGGTTGAGCATCCCTAATCTGAAAATCTGAAACTCTGAGAGCTGAGATGATGCCACAGTGGAAAATTCCTCAACACTGAACTTTGTTTTGTGTACAAAATCAATAGAAATACTGTATACAATCGCTTTTAGACTATGTATATAGGTGTGTATAAAACATAAATGGATTTTGTAATTAGGCTTTGGTTCCTATGCAAATATTCCAAAGTCCCCAAAATACTTGTGATCTGAAACATTTCTTGTCCTAAGCATTTTGGATAAGTGATATGCAATATGTCTCAAATTATTTATCCATTCTAATGTTGATGGACATTTGCCTGTTTTTCTCTAGGCTTTAGGAATTATAAGCAGCTCTTCCATAAGCGTTTTAGCTTGTGTGCTTCTGTGTTTGCATCTCTATCAGCATACGGTAGATGGGAATTGAAGGTCATGGGGCTATGTACTTGACACTCATTGAATCTTCAATTTGAATTTCTCACTGATTCCTAGATCTTTTATATTTTGGGTAAGAACCAGCCATTTGGTATATATGCTATAAATTATCTTCTCTTGCTCTGAGGATTACATTTTCACTATCATGGCACCTTTTGATAAGTAGAAGTTTTAATTTTCAAAGAGTTGAGTTATATATCATTACTTTATGGCTAATGACTTGTTTTTGTCTTAAGGAAGTGTTCCCTACCTCAAGTCAATGAGGAGCCAGGCCTGCGTTAACTGTGAAGACTTTAGTGTTGCCTTCACAGGAAGCTCTATAAATACGCAGGACTGGGTTTTTGCATGGTGTGGCTGTTCAATTCTGCTGCACATTTGTTGAAATGATGATCATTTCCCCCATTCGGTGCTGTACAACCTGTGTCTTAAGTCAAGCGTCCACTCATGCATGGGTCTGGGATCTCTGGTCTGTGCCCTGGGTCACTGTCCAATCTTGACACCAATGCCCCTCACCTTAGTTACTCTGGCTTTTATAATAGGTCTTGATAGCTGGTGATGAAAAAATTTCTTTTCTTTGAGAGTATCTTAGTTCTTTTTTTTAAATGTTTTATTAGTTGTCAATGGACCTTTATTTTATTTACTTATTTATATGCAGTGCTGAGAATTGAACCCAGTGCCTCACACCTGCTAGGCAAGCACTCCACCACTGAGCCCCAGCCCCAGTCCCAAGAGTGCATCTTAGTTCTTATGTACACAGTTGTCTTACTTTTTATTCACCTTTACATTGAGGATTCAGTCTTTCATCACTCACCCAAACTGGGGGGTGATTTCTCTACCATTGAAAGGACCTGAGCTCTACGTTTGTCCCCTAACATAGCAACATAGCAAAACCCTGTATCAAAAAGAAAGAAAAAATGGTGACGGGGCCGGGATGTAGCTTGAGGTGCAGCAGTTGCCTAGTACACAAGGCCTTGGGCTTGCTCTCCAGGACTGCAGAAAGAAAACAAAAACAAAAACAAAACTGATTTCCTTGGAAGGTCCTTGAAGAAAGGGAGAGGACAAGCTACATAGTGGAGAAGAGATGTGTGATACAGTGGACCCTCTGTGGAGAATTGGTTCCAGGAGACCCCCTCCCCAGCCCAATGGAAATGAAAACCTGAGGACAGACTGCACCATCCCCAGAGCCCCAGCGTGGTCCAGCAGGGACCCCTCCACCACACCGTCTTGAGTTTGTGGCACAGTTCTGGAGGACAGTGGGCACAGGCATGACAGCAGCAGGGGGGCGTGCCTGGCTGGTCTGGTAGCCCCTGGGCTGGGCAGCCGGGTGCAGCTCAGGACAGAGCTCTAGTTGTAATGAGGTTTTTTTTTAACCTTCACAAACTTAAGAAACTGAGGGAATCTTCTTGGCTCTTTTTTCTCTAAGTAGAAGGGAAGAGCTTTTATAAGAAATAACCTTTTCAGCAAGTCCAGGGTATTTTTTAAAACTCTCCTTCCTCCTGCAGCAATTGTGACATGTCTACATGAAATTGGCCACAGGAAGGAAACCCTGTTGGAGAAGCTATTTTCTGAACACCCTTTTATACCCAAGGTTGCACAACGTGCATACTTTTAGGTGGAAGACCAGGACTTCACACCCTCAGGGGCAGCTATAATTTGGAAGTCAATTGCTTTCATGAAGCTTGTGCATGATCCTCTAGCAGAGCACCAGGAAGAGCTAGAGACGACTTAACATCTACTTTAAAGCAAGACTTGCAGAACTGGGAATACATCCTGCAGGGAGGGCAACTCCATGAGACTCTGCAATGAGGAAGTTACATGTTTAGAGAAGGGCTGGAAAAAATAGAAGGGCCCAGCCACTGGGAGGTACAGTGACCCAGGACTGCTGCTCTGAAGAGTGCCCTTTTTCTTAAGATAGGCAACAAAGAATAACAGGTTTATGGCCCCAAAGAATGTACAGCCGGCAGCAGAGTGACTTACCATCATGTCTGCACGCATCTGACAGGTCTAGGCACCTAGCCCGCCGTCAGCCTTGCCTTGGTCAGGATGCACGGAGTTTGTGTGAGACCTTCTGCTCTCCCAGTGCTAGCTGGTCAGGTGCGGGTGGATGGAACCACCTGACGCCTTGCTCCCTGCTCCCACCTGTGGGACCTCAGCTGGACATGACCACAGCCATCTTGGATGTTGTCATGCAGCAGCCATGGAAGGCCCCGCCACCCCGCCTTCAGGAAGTCAGCTCACACATGCTGGCCAGCTGCGTCCCCTGACTGTTCCTCTTGCCTGTGACTTCGCCCTCCACTCTCTGTCATTGTCTCTGACGGGCTGTCCTGGTGCAGGGAGAAAGGGCTTGGGACTGGAAGGGCACCAATGGAGCACCTGTCTTCAGACTTCCAGGCCAGAACTTCCTTGGGTCCCCTCCCACAGTGGGACGCTTCAGGGTCTGGAAAGTTTGTTCTCGGGGAGGAAAAATGCGGGACTTCTCAGGCGCTGAGGAGGCTGGACTCACCACCAGGCCTGTGTTCACCAAAGGCACCGAGGGGCGTCCTGCTGTGACTGTGGGAAATGAATGCATGTAAATAGTTAAGATAAAGGACTGCAGGTGAACCCTCCTGAAGGCAACCACAGGTTCTTTATAAGACCTTGGAGAGGAGACACAGACACAGAGAGTGGCCGTGTGACGAGGAGGCAAAGACCGGGCAAGGGAGTCCCAGGCTGGGCGAGAGCAGCAGCCACCAGAAGCCGAGGAGGCAGGAAGGAGCCTTCTCTGGAGCCTTAGGTGGGACTCACCCACTGACCTTGGACTTCTGGTCTTTGGAACTGTGAGAGGTGACTCCTGTTGTGTTAGCCTTCCAGTTTGTGGTGCTTGTTAGCAGCCCTAGGACATGGAAGCCAGGATTCCAGATGGACACATTGCTGGGTGTGGCTGGTTCTTGTGCTCGTGGGTGTCTTTGTTGGTGGGAGTGTCACCTCCAGTGAGAAGGGAAGGTTCTCACTCCCCGGCAGCCTCCGTGGAGTAGGGTCCCGTGGGTTTCAGCTCTGTGACGGAGAAAGCTGGGGTCTTTACCTGCCGCTCTCTCCCGGGGCCTTACTCTGGTAGCCTCCACTGGGCTGTCTGCTCTGGAAACTTGATGGCTTTTTGGTGGGGAACGGGGCTGGCACGTGGCAGTGTCCAGGGACCTTCCTGTCTCTGCCCTCTTCCCTATTGCTGGGGGTTTCTGGCTTTTGGGAATCATAATACAGCTTCTCCCCAGAAGGAAGCCAGTCTGTTGGGACTATTTATGTGCAACTACACGAATGTCAGCATGAGCTGCCCTGGGAGGAGGCGCTAGATGCCTTGGGACTCAAGCTGAGCCTCTTCAGAGCTTCTGCTAAGCCCTCGGCAGAGATGTCCTCATTCTCCCCGAAGCTCGAGAGGCTGATCTGTCTGGAGATGCTAGAAGCCAGTTCTCCTGAAGGCAAAAGGCACTTACCTAAGAGACAGAGGAAGTCACTGAGCCCTAGCACTGTCACTTGAGATCCTGGATCCAGTCATGTCTGAAACCTCTCAAGTCCCCACTCTTCTGGGTACCCAAGTCCATGCATTCTCCTTGTTAGGTTAGTTTGAATACCATGTTTCTGTCACCTGTAAAAGGAATTCTCTCCACTAGTATAAATTCTAGGTAGCGATTTCCTAGGAACAGAGCTGCCTGGAGCCACGCCTCGTCTGCATGGTGCCAGGCGTTGCCTGCTGTGGCCAAGGCTCAGCCAGCTGTGAGCCTCCTCCTGCAGGCCCCTGCTCCTTGTCTTACTGTCACAGAGCGAGCAACATGCTTCCCTCTGTGCCAGGGAACCAGGAGCACTGTGGGACACCCTCCCCACTTTCTTTGCCTGTTCAAATTTTGCTCCATCTTTGAAGTCCATTTCAATTTGTCCTCTGTCACAGAGAAGCCCTGATTTCTTGGGCACTTGCTGCTGTATGCTGTACTGTAGCATTTTATTAGGTTCAACCTGGACTTAAAGCAACTTGAAAGCACTCACTGACCTGTCCAGCTTAGAGCCTGCCTGGGCCTGGCTCTTAGGGCTCAGGGACTCAGAATCTTAGGTTGGACTTGAGACATTTCCTAGTTATTTGCTGTTATTTATTGTTAACTCCTCATGACATAGATTCTATTATGACACATCCTAAGACGTTCGGAGCCTGAGTCCTCTAAACCTAAAACAATTAAACAGGACACAGACTTCATCCCCGGCCTTCCTCTTTCCTTGTGGAGCTGCTGGTCATAACTCAGATAAGGTGGTATCTCAGATAACCAACTTGTTTTGAGGCCTGGGTGATGGTGCTTCTTAAGGCTCCAGATTTCTCTTTCTCACAGCCTAAGAGGTTTGATGCTGAACTCCCACTAGAAATCAGGTTCATCTTCTCAGTGGTAAAGTACTTAGTTCTGTACATTTGATTTGGTGCCGAGTTAGCCCACGTTGCCTTGCTGGCTTGTTCTAGTACCTGTTTTCCTTTTTTGGTTCTGTCACTCATGGTTGATTGGAGCAGAAGGTGTTTGAGGTCCTGTATGAGTTTCCTGTGTCTGCTGTAACAATCACCACGAACAGCACACGTTTCTCTCACGGATCTGGAGGCCAGGGTCCCCACATGCTCTCCGGGGCTGTGCGGGTGCTGGCAGGGCTGGCTCTTTCAGGAGGCTCCGGAGTTGAGTCTGTTTCTTTGTCTTTTCCAGCTTCTAGGGGCCCCCACATTCCTGGCTCCTGGTTCCGTCCTCTACCTTACAGTCAGCAGCACAAGAGCTCCATGACTCTCTGAATCTGTCTTCATTGTCATGTCTCCTCTGAAGTGGACCTTGCTGCCACCCTCCAGAGATGCTGCGATGACCCTGGGCCGCCTGGCTATTCTTGGGTAAGCCCCCTCAGACCCCCCTCTGTCGCATCTTCACCTTTCTTCCCCCCCTCCCCCTCTGCCCCGGCCCCCCTCCCCCTTTCCTTCCGAGAAAAATACATAATCTGTCATCAGGCACGTAAGTGTTTCATAGCCGGCTCCTCAGTTTAGAAGTCTCATGTCTTGCTCACTATGGTGTCTACAGGGTTTAGAAGGAATATTGGACGAATTTTCCTCAAACTGAGAATTTCTCTTTTTATCCCTCCTACTTGATAGCAGTTGCATGCAATGTCAGTGAGAGAGGAAGAACACTGACCCCACACTCTAGCCAGGGGTTTTCCAGTCCTGCTCGGGCAACGCACTGTGTGAGCATGTGGCTTCTTTTTGAGGTGCTGTGATGTAGGCAGGGCCAGGCCTGGTGAGCCTCGAGGACGGCTGAGTGACTCTGGTCTCAAGCAGGCCCAGCTCCTTCCCTTTGGTTTGATTCTATTTTTCTCAGTAAAATAGTGATGTAATCGAGGGGACGTGGAATTGTGAGTGGAGAACGTGAGAGAGGGGCACTCGTGGGCCTGGCTGGCTGTGGGGAAGTTCCCAGGGGACCGGTTAGGATGAAAGGCCCTCACCATGTTTGGCTGGGGGCCGCGTGGAGGAGGCGGAGGGCAGCTCTTCCTTAGGCGCAAGACTGTGGAAGGAGGTGGGCATCCTTTTCTGCAGAGCTCACGTGGACTGAGGGAGGCTGCTTCGGAGGTGGGGGACACAGAACACCCTGAATTTTCTCAGTGGAGCCCAAGTGAAGCCCAGTGAACTTGCTTTCAAGGCTGCTCTCGACTGTGACGTGAGGATCTCACCCAGCGGTGGCCTGAGGGAGTGTGCTGAACCTAGAGGCTTTTTGCCCGGAGGCTGTTTGTCTGAGCCCTGATTCCCCACTGGTGCCTACTGTGGGAACAGGCAGTCCCCACACACACGCTTCCCCTTGAAGGCAAGCTCCTGTGACATGTTTAGGCCTTGGCATGAACAGCCACCATGTGCCCAACAGGTGGGGACTCCTGGGAGAGTAGGTCCTCAAGAGACTTAGTCTGGTGTGAGAGCCCCACTGAGCCAGGAACCCAGTAATAAGTGACACTTCATAAACCAGAAGTCACTTCCCATTGAGACCTAGGATTGGCCAGTTCTCCTTTGGTCTTTCCCCTGTCAGGCAGAAGGGCAGAATAAGGGACCAAGGAGCTTGTAAGTCATGTTTCTATCTGCGCTGAGGGCTGATCCTGACAGGTGTGTCCTCAGTGCTTTTATGGGCTGTACGTGTGACTCAGGAAGCCCAGGGACTCCCCCAGCTGCCCGCCAGGCAGGGCCCTCTGATGGGAAGTGGTACCTGATACTCAGTTTCCTTTCACACCAGTTTCTCTTGCATCCCGCAGCTTCGGTGAGTCAGAAAAGCCCTCCTAGAAACTTCTGGTGCTTGGGCTTCTGCTGCTCAGGCTGGAGTGCCTGGGGACTGGTGTCCGTGAGCTGAAGGGTCCCCCGGACTGTGCTGCCTCAGCCCCTCCTCAGGACTCCATGTTGAGCCTTGGCTCACGTGAGACAGCTCTTGCCTCTGCCACCATCGAGAGACACCTTCTCTCTGGGCCACTGATAGAGGATCTCTGGGTTCCAGAACAGGGGCAAAAGCAGTTTAGGGACAGGCTTGAAGGTTGGGGTGTGGAGAGGGGAGAGCAGAGAGGAATGGACTCAAAGGACACTGAAGTGAAAGGAAGAAACATGATCAGTGGGTCTCAGAGGGAGGTGGCTTTTGCTCCATACCACAGTTTCCAAAGTCTGGAGACACTTTGGTTGTCAGAACTGGGGCTGCTGCTGGTGACTAGTGGGTCAAGGACATCCTACAATGCACAGGATGTCTCCCTCTGCAAGGATTGGGCCACCCCTCATGCTGATGGTGTCACGGCTGGATACCAGATTCAGCTGAGGAACTTCCAGCTGAGCTGTGTTGGGAAAATCCTTATGTGAGTTGGAATTTTAGAAGAAAAGCTCCATTTTTAAATTTCTTTAGTTGAAACCAGTGGTTCAATGAAGCTCAGAGGCGAGGACTCACTGGGTGACCTTGCCAGGTAGGCATTTGTGGGAAGAGCAGGAAGTCTTGGGCTGAGCTGGGGCTTATCGGTAGACACTGGCCCAGCATTCACGCGGCACTGGGCTCCCGAAAAACAAAAACAAAAACAAAAAACTCCTGAGTAATCCTCAGGGACAGCGACAACTCCCTCCTGTACATCAGTTAATGATTGGTTAACGGGGCAGCTCTCTCCCTTGGGATGAACATTCAGGAGAAGACAGCAGACCCCTCCTGGGTCCCCCAAACTACTTCCCAGGTGAGTTATGGGTCCTGGGAAACTGCCTGAGTTGCTGCCTGGCTGTGGTGATGTTTCCCCGGATGATGCTGATCACCATGGAGGACCCTTCTCTCTCCAAGTCTGTCTTAGATGAAAGGAAGGTTCAGCTCGAGTTGAGTGAGGTGGTGCATGCCTGTAATCCCAGTGACTGGGGAGGCTGAGGCAGGAGGAGCACAAGTTCAAGGCCAGCCCGTGAAACTCATCAAGACCCTGTATCAAAATTAAAAAAAAAAAAAATTAAAAGGCTGGGTGTGTAGCTCAATGGTAGGGCACCCCTGGGTTCAATCCTCAGTACCAAAAAAAAGTTTCAGTCAGGTGCCTTCTGAAAGAAAGGATGAAGGCCAGCATTCCCAAGAATGGACATCAAATGGGCCGACAGGTCTGAGATGTCCACTAGAGAAGGCAGCATGGAAAGTGCATGAGGGCAGGATGGCCTAGAATCAAGACCCTTTTTGAACCATGGGCAAATCCTCTAATAAGAAAAGAAACTGAGAATTTCAGGCGACGTCCAGGGAAAATCACCACGGTCTGCTTGGGGGGTGGCGGGAGGGAGAGGCTTTAGGAAAACTCTGAAAATTCTTCAGTACGTTTTGCTTTTGCTCACTTAGATTTAGAGGAATCCACTGGCAAAATGAAACTGAAAGCTTGCTTTCCTGCTGAGTCTCCTGCTGACCACAGGGTGTGAATCTGCCCTTGACTCTAGACTGTCAGCTGCTTTCACTGCATGATTCTTTGGGGGTCAGCTTTGTCAACGTATAATTGATGTACAATAAACTTCACCATTTTAAGTGCACGATTTGATAAGTCTTGATAAATGTGTAGTTGTATAACCGCAGGATCATGACAGAACATTTCCATCATCCTCAAAGTTCCCTCGCAGCCCTCAGTAGTTCACCTCTCCCTCCAGCCTCCCGCCTGGCTGCCTCTCACCTGCTTCCCATTTCTGAGGCTGGGCTTTTTAGGTACCCGAAGGTAAGTGGAATCTCAGTGTGTAGCCTTCTAGGTTCCACTCTTAAAACTTAATATGGGGCTGGAATTGTGGCTCCGTGGTCAAGCACTTGCCTAGCATGAGGCACTGGGTTCAAATCTCAGCACCACATATAAATAAAGTCCACTGACAACTAGAAAAATATTTAAAAAAACTGAATATGATGGTTTTAAGAGTCATCCGTGTTGTTGCTTGTGTAAGTAGTTGGCTCCTTATATTGAATCACAATCTACTTATCCATATACCAGTTGATGGACGTTTGTTTCATTCCTTTGGAAACTATGAATAAAGGTGCTGTAAACATTAATTTACAGATATTGAGGTGGACATGTTTTCGGTCTCCTAGGGTTTTCCCCTTTGTCTGTGTAAATACTTCCAGGTGAAACTGCTGGCCACATGGTATGTTTGATTTTTCAAGGAGCCATTAAACTGGTTTCCGAATAGCTGCCTTCATTTTGCACTCCCACCAGCAACGTGAGCAGCTCAGTTGTTCCTGAGCCTTGCCAGCTCTTGGTATCACCAGTCTTATAACTTCCCTAGTGACCACATATGGGTGTCTCTTTTTGGTTTTAATTTGTATTTGTCTAATCAACAATGATGCCTTCATGTGCTTGTTTCTATGGGTATATCTTCTTCAGTGAAATGTCTATTAAGATTATTTGACCATTGAAAAAATTGGGTTGTTTCATTAAGTTGTGAAGTTTCTCCCCTCATTTGTTCTTTGTACTAGTCCTTGTCAGGCATTTGTCTTCCATTTTATTTCTGTGGTTTGCCTTTTCATTTTAACAGTGTCATCTGAAAAGCAAAACTTTAAAAATGTTTAGGAAGTCCAACTTATTATTTCTTTTATTCTTTGTGGTTTTTTGTGTGTGTCCTATTTAAGCAGTCATTGCTTAATCCAAGGTGACTTACATTTTTTTTTCCTACGAATTTTATAGTTCTACCTCTTAAATTTACATCTTAGGCCTATTTTGAGTTAATTTTCCTGTGTGATAGGTGGTTTATTTCCCACATGGATGCCCAATATTATTAGTTCAAAAGATTCTTTCCTCCTAGAGTTGCCCTATCACCTTTGCAAAGTTCATTGGCTGTGTGTGTGGGTTTATTTCTAGACTCTATTCTGATTTTACTTTAAAAAAAGATAAACTTTGTAAAACTTTGTAAAGCAGCAGCACCAAATGTAGCTAAAACAATAGATGCAATTAAAACAAGAAAGGTTAAAAAAATAGCACCTAGACTCTCATCAGCTTAAAAACACTATTAACACACTTCCATTGTGTGATACACACAAGAAAACTACGGGTGCTCTCCTGCTGTGACTTGCTTTCATTTATGACATCCATGATGTCCCCACACCAGGAGAGTGTTTCCAAGCAGGTAGGAAAAGCAACTGGTGTGTGCGTGTGCGGGGGTTGTGCACGGGCTGCCTCGGCTCTGGGCGGCCCTCTTCTTTCTGACTCGCACTTTCAGCCTGCTTTCACCCGGCTCAGGAACACAGGCTCGCCAGAGGCAGGGCCGGCGCAGCGGAGGCCCGGTGCAGAGGCCCGTCCCGCCTCCCCGAGGGCCCAGAGGTCAGGAAGCCCCGACGGGTGGGGAGGAGTCCTGCAGCGGAAAGGCCGTGAACTGCGGGCGCGGCGGCCTCGCTGTCGGCTTGTTCCTGTGGCTCTAGTAAACAAGCTGGGGACCTCACAAGTACAAAGGTCACTTGGCTCGCCTCAGTGGCAGGGGCCACGTCGCACCTTGCACGGAGGGAGCCAGAGCTATGGCACATGGTGGACACCGGAAGCGGAAACCTAAGCAACAACCGGAAGCGGAAGCGAAGTGTGGGGGCGGGGCGAGCAGTCCGATCTCGCGAGACTTTCCCAGGAAGAGGTCCGCCCTTTTAAAGCCTACCGGCCTCCCACTAGGCCCCGCCTCTTAAAGGTCCAGCCCCTCTCCACATGGCCCACTGGAGAAGGAGCGTCAGGTAGTGACCTTTGGGGGATACAATCAAACGCTCGCCAAACCTGAGTGTCTGGAAGCTGGAAAAGGAAGGAAACAAGGCTGCCCAGCAACCTCCCCAGGGAATTCAGTCCCACTGACACCTTGATGTTACCCCAGTGAGACCCAGGTTGTGCTTCTGACCTTCAGAGCTGGGAGAGGATGAATGGGTCTGGTTTTAAGCCCCTGAGTTTCTGTTTGTTACAGAAGCAATGGAAATCGAGTACGGGTTTGACTGTTCCTGTTAACTTCCCGAACTTGTCAAAGAAATATAGTTGTATTCTAGACAAAAGAGCTGCATTTTGTATTATTAGAGATGAGAACCCCAATATATTATTATTATTATCTTCAGTGCTGGTGATCAAACCCAGGACCTCACACATGCAAAGCAGCACTCTGTCACTGAGCTAAACCCCAGCCCCCAAATCTTTATTTATTTATTTTTGAGGTAGAGTTTCACTCTAACTTCTTAGGCTGGCCTTGAATTCCTGGATTCCAGAGATCACCCTGCCTCAGCCTCCTGAGTAGCTGGCTGGTCTCACTTCAAATTTTGAATGTTGGATCAGAACTGATTTCATCTCAATTTAAGAGAGAGTTTCCTAAACCTTTTAAACTGTTAAAAAAAAGCCAAACTGCTTTCCGAGATAGCAAATTTGTTGTTGCAAGAACAATTCAAAATAATTGTCAAAATGTCACCGTGGGGATTCCTACACGGATGGGAAGTTATGTGAAGTTACCTTAGGTCACCCCTGGGTTCTTCCCACACTGAGAACTTGTGATTTCATTAATTTTGTTTTCAGTGCCGGGGAGCAAACCCAGGGCCTTGCGCATGCCAGGCAGGCGCTCCACCACGGAGCCACACAGCCAGCCCATTTCATGATCTTGAATCTCTTGGAATTGCTTCTTGGTTTTCTTGCTCTAGCGGCTGAACCCCCATTCCAGTTGCCCCATTTTACCAAAGAAATGATAGGCAAAGTTAGAACTGGAAGTGTTCTGCATTTTCAGCCACTTTTCTAAAAGAAGTTGGTCTGTCCAGGGTTGTACAGGTGGCGGGTGGTGGGACAGAACCAGGGACAGCACTCCCAACAGCACAGCTGATTTGCTGTTCCAGTTGGACCCTGCAGTGCTGACACACTGTGTCATCCTTCTCCTCGGTCGTCCTTGAGGAGGTTAAGGGAAGGTGGGGTCAGCTCCCATGCTTGTTCCTTTCCTTCCTTTCATCCCCAGGCAACCTTTCTGGACACAGAAGTTCCTTCCTGTGTCCCACCCTCCTGATCATCCTTGAAGGTGACATGGGCATAGACGGGCATGACTCTGGGCCTGGATTTTATGTAAAATCCAGGAAGTGCTTTCAGCTCTTGAAGGGACTTTCTGCCACTCCGCTTACAGCCTAAGCAAGGGTTGTACAGGCGAACTCAGCACACCCTGCCGACTTGTTCAGGTAGGACCAGGGGATGATTTGTTTTCTTGTCTTTTCCATTGTTTGTTATTTCTAAGCCACTCTGTTAATTAATGGAAAATTGTTGTGAGAAATGCAGTCACCACATTATACAGGCCCAGTCTCTATCTCTTAGGTTAGGAAAAATGAGGTCAGAGAACAAAAAGCTGAACAGGTATTTCCTCTCTTACATGTGGGTGAAACCTAGAAAATAAAAGCGAGACTGCCTACCCTGGTTTCGAGTGCTCGTCATCATACTTGGAAAAGGGAAGTCTGACACACTGACCGTGGAGCACAGTCACCGTTGTGCATGATGTAAGTGTCTGTATCACCATGTTAATAACCAATACCAATAGAAATAAGGGAGGTCCCCAGGGCTGGTTATGAAACACGTACTCAGAAATCGGATTCCCTTAAGCCAATAAAGAGAATCTCAGTGCTGTGATGGAAGGATTTCATTCACAGTTGCAACAAAATGCAAATAACATAACAATTAGGAAAACTTCACAAAAAATATGTAGGACCAAAAGTGAACAAAATGTCACATGTTTATTCAGGAGCATAAAAGAGGACATGTTTGGGGCCAGAATAACCAACTGTTGAAAATGAAAATTCCATAAATTATGTATCAATTCAATGCAGTTTCAAACAAATTACCAGTGAACTTTTTTTTTTGTTTTCCTTTGAAAAACATCCTGAGGGCTGGGGCTGTGGCTCAGTGGCAGCGCGCTTGCCTCGCACATATGAGGCACTGCGTTCAATCCTCAGCACCACATAAAAATGAATGAACAAAATAAAGATATTGTGAAAAAGAAGGTATTAAAAAAAATCCTGAGCTGGGCACGGTGGCACATGCCTGTAATCCCAGGAGCTTGGGAGGCTAAGGCAGGAGGATGGTGAGTTCAAAGCCAGCCTCAGCAATGGGGAGGCACTAAACAACTCAGTGAGACTCCGTCTCTAAATAAAATACAAAATAGGGCTGGGATGTGGCTCAGTGATTGAGTGCCTCTGAGTTCAATTCTCAGTACCCTCCCCCCCCCAAAAAAAATCCTGAAAATAACTAGATAAGAATATACATAAGAGGATGCCAGGTAGTGTGTGTGTGTGTGTGTGTGTGTGTGTGTTTTGTAAATTTATGTTTATAAGCAGTGACATTTACTTGCTTTTGGTGTACAGTCCTCTGTGTTCTGACAGTGCATAGAGTTGTGCAGCCCGGGGTGGCACGTCAGGTCGCAGGACAGTTCTGTTCTTTTTGCAGTCAGGATTCCCTGAACCCCAATACGTGGCAACCACAGATCTGTTCTCCCTCCCAGCTGTTTTACCGTTTCGAGACAGTCACATAAAAGGAATCCTGCAGAATGCCGTCTTTTGTGCTTGCTGCTGTCAC